GGAGAGGGAGAGAGGGGGAGAGATGGGGAGAGAGAGAGAGGAAGCAAGAGTGGGAGTGTGCCTGTATTGTGGCCGAACGCGAAGAAAAGTTTTGTCGACTGAACTCTGAACTTTTTTATTTTATTTTTTATGGACCATTTCTTGATTTATGGGTGTCATCCTTGCGGAGGTGCCATGCTAATCTTCTCTGTATCATTCCAATTTTAAAACGATACAGAAAAGATTAGCATGCGCATCCTCGGTCATCCTTGTCGTCCAAAGCGACATTGCCGTCCAAAGGGACCTTGCCGTCCAAAGCGACCTTGCCGTCCACGTGTTCCACGTGTTCGGCCACACGGTCGTTAAAATCCTCACGGCAAGGTCGCTTTGCTATCCGTGGACAGCAAAGAACACCTACACACAACGGAATCCTTGATGTTAAAATCCTGACGGCCATGAGGTCGTTAAGATCATGACGGCAAGAACGCATGCTCGTAAAAAAAATAAAAATAAAAAAATTCTGACGGGCGAAGATCAGGTAGACACTGATCGCAAAGCGACCTTGCCGTGCACATGTTCCACGTGTTCGGCCATCCAAGTGTTCAGCAACGTGTTCCTCAACTGCGTCAGCATCATGGTCCGCCATTATACAGCTACAAACTACCCGCATTACTTCTGAGACGGAGGGTAGATTACTAGATTGTAATCATTTGCTTGACAAGCATGTGGGAGAGGCAAAAATAAAAATAAAAAAAATTGGTTTGCTCCGCCTTCTTTTTTCTTTTTTTTTTTGTTTTAGAGCCATTTCTTGATTTGTGTGTGTCATCCTTGCGCAGCGGCCATGCTCATCTTCTTTTTGTGTATCATTCCATCTTTTCAACGGTTGTCCTGGAGGACCTTTGCGTTTCTTCTCGTTTGTCATTCTTCGTCAATATGCCATGTGCATCCTCCCTGTCTTCCTCCGGCTTCCCCCCTGCCATCGCCCTATTCCTCCTCCACCTGTCCTCTTCGTCCTCGGGGTCCAACTGATCGTCATGATGTCCACGTGTCACTCTGGCCTCCACGTGTGATCTTGGCCACCGGTTCCTCCTCTTCTCTTCCTCCTCTGACTCTTCGTCATCGTCCATTTGCCCTCTGCCTCGTCTGTCTCTTCCTCCGGCCTTGCCCCCTTCATCGCCCTCTCCCTCCTCCGCCTGCCCTCTGCCTTCTACGACTCCTCGTCTTCGTGTCCACGTGTCACATTGGCCGACACGTGTCGGCCGCCTCGCCATAGCAGCCATCACCAGCGGAACTTTGCACTCCCAAGGGGCGAGATTTTAGAACCTCCTTAAATACTGCTTTAGTTCTCCGTGATTGCTGAGCTGCCAGTTCGTTACAACTGTCATTTTTTTTTCCCCATTCAGCGAAGTTGTTTGCGGTTGAACATGGTCGGTTTTTGGTCTGATTTTCATTACATCAACTTTCTTTGTGTTTTGGGTTTAGGGTGATGTCTACAGAAAACACCACCCCCCGTAAACACCACCGTCCCAAAACACAAAGATACTGTAGTGAAAATCACATAAAAAATCTACCATGTTCAACAGCTCTTTGTGTTTTGGGTTTAGGGTGATGTCTACAGTAAACACCACCCCCCGTAAACACCACCGTCCCAAAACACAAAGATACTGTAGTGAAAATCACATCAAAAATCTACCATGTTCAACAGCAAACAACTTACCAAACGGAAAAAAAAGGTCGGTTTTAAGTTTTATAGAACTGGCAGTTGCTGCTTCACTTCCCTTTGCCTGGTCATGGAAGATAGAAGAACCTTTTTTTTTTTTTTTTTAAGCAACATGGAACATACAAGAACCAGTTCTAATGCCCGTTTGTGAACAAGACTGGTGAGAAAACAGATATGTCTCGTCATGCCTTCAGTCATCGTTCAAAAAGAAAACGTCGGAGATCGCTGAAGGTATCTTGAACCTTGCAGAAGGCTAGAGAAGAGAGACGGCCTCTTCCCACTACTCAACATTCACCATGCATTTGGAGGCTTTCTGGACCAGGTGCAGTCTGAGGATTCCAACATCTTGAATGTATCGGGAGGATCATGAGCTCCAGATACATGTAGAGTGTTGTGTAGTGAAGCGACGCTTAGAATAGTGCAAAAGCAGGAAGTGCTGCCAGCGGGATTACCGGAGAGGAAGAAGACAGATCTGGGATCGCCAATTGTGGAGAGGAGGAAGGGCAGGGATTGCAGAGAATGGAGGGCAGAATCTGAACGAAAGCTGCTGGACGCCAGCGGCCCTCTGTGGCGCACTACTTATTCACCAGCGGAGATAGGGCCACGGAGATAAAGACAAAAAAGATGGCAGTGTATCTTTCCATGTTCTAGCGGTGGATTCAGTCTCATTTTGCACATTTGGAGAGTAGTGCAGCGAGGCCCATAGCCCACTCGCCCCCCTATGCCCTCCCCCTCGTCTACTGACCAATCAACTTCGTTCCTCCGGCGCATTCGTTATCAGTTTTCAATGCACTTGAGGCCTCCCTTGAACACAACACATCCCCACCCGACCCCTAAGCTGGGTTGCATTCTTCATGATTTTCCAGACTTTGGAGCAACATTGACTAAATCCTGACTGGAACGCATTTAAAAATGAAAAAATGAAAACCGCGAGAGCGTCCTAGTTTTCCCATTTTTTTTTATTCCCCCCCCCCCTCTTCATGCATGTCATCACCCTGGTGCATGCCCAGGCCATGCCGCGTGTCATCATCCTTGGGCACAACGACCCCGTTGCCGCTCAACCACTTTCAATCTGGGCAGCCCTGTACATCAGAGGCACAATGATAATTGGGCTGCAAGAACAAACAGAAATGGTGGGACATCCTGATAAAATTGGAAAGATACAAAGAAGATTAGCATGGCCCCTTATTATAAATAAAAAAAAAGAAGAAATGGTGCCCCATGGCCAAGCGGCCTGGCTCAGTTGGTTGAGCATGTAAGTGGTACACAGCAGGTCGTGGGATGGATTCCCCACATCATCCATTCGATTCCCCACGACCCCCTGTGGTATGCTGCGGGTTCACCACCTGAGAACGTCGGCTTGTCCCTCCTGCCTGGTTGTGGAAGTAGCATTTCACTTTCCAGCCCACACCGGGTGTTAGGAGCTTGGGTACTGCTCCCCGAACACAGCAGAGTTCGTTAGGGGTAGACTAATAACCAAAGGATAGCTTAGCTTCGGTTTGTGAACTTGAGGTTAGTGCTTAGGTAGTAGATATCCGCTCAAAGTGCCAACGTTAGGTCCTGTACCTCAGAGTAACCCTGGACTCCGGATACGTAGTAAGAAACGGTGCCCCAAACTGAGCACAAATGTTGATAGTCGAGATAGCTATATGCCACAGGTGTTGTGCTCAATATGACTTGTAGACGGGTATGACTGCGTAATCTACTATAACAGACGTGAAGCTGCTTCTACTGTGAATGGACACAAATGGGTGGAATGGGAGCTGTTGTGGTGCAGAAGTGAAACACTGCCTGCACATGCTGTGCATGCATCTAGCACACAATTCGCCATACACACGTTTCCCGGCAGCAGACAATGGTTCAGGCTATTCTCATGATTGACATCCATCGTCTCGTTCGGATTATGAACGGATTGTGTACAGTGTTTTTATGGAATTTGATTTCGTCAATTTTCCTGCTTATTAATGAAGTTCACCATGCTTGTCAATTTGCGTTCTACTTGCCTCTCACACTACTTTTCTTCTTCCCTCATTGTTCTTTCGTCCATACAACTCTGCAGTCATTTTCATTTCAATTGTATTTGGCCAGCATTCTGTTTCTTGTACATTTTTCTCTGTGACATTAGGATCGGTGTGACACCCGTTTCTGGTGGTCGTGGTTTGCCGTTGTGCAGGTGAAGGCGGTGCATTGCTCCGTTGCCTCATGTGAAGTTTGCACTATAGTCTGCAAAGCAGGTCAAACTGTTTTCAAGTCACCCACTACATGTGATGTCATATGTGCCCACAATTTTTCGTGCCGGATGTGCTCTTTGACCATGCTTCTACTTGACATGAATCCTTTCCAGTTGGGCTTGCACAAAAATAATTTAGTAGACATGCACACATTTTCTGATCTATCCATCGATTGTGGCAGCGAGTCTGGGAACCATTGTACTTGTGGGGCACATGACATGTCCAATTCACGTCACTCTAACTGTTGAATTCGTTGCTTACGCTGTATGTACTTCACCTCGCTCCGAAGACCAAGCCACGTCACCAGAGTGCCATGTCAGCAAGAGTGGCACATCAGCAGAGTGCGAGGTAAGCAAGGTGTGCCATGTCAGCAAGGTGCCGCGTAAGCAGGGTGCCACAACACCGGAATGCCACGTCGGCACCGGCCGTTGCAGCTCATCACCTGCACCGGCCGTTGCAGCTCATCACCTGCACCGGCCGTTGCAGCTCATCACCTGCACAGCCCGTTGCAGCTCATCACCTGCAGCGGCCGCTGCATGAAAAGGCTCTTCATCACCTGCACCTGCACCGGCAGCTGCAGTTCTCCTGCTGCTATCATGTTGCATACCGTAATGGTGCAGACCAGAACAAGATCCGACCTCTCTCACATAGTACAGGATAGCGCAGCGGAAGGCTAATATACCAATGATCAGACCAATCAATGTCGCAATGCAGACCAAACATACATCATCCTCATCACAAGGTGTGAAGGGGCCTGGCACTCACACAGGAAGAATGCGCCAGTCCCCAAACATACACAGATGAGGAGGAGAAGGATTACACGAAGATGAGGGGGAAGATGGGAATGTTGTCAACACCAAGTCTTCGGTATAGGTCCCAAATAATCCCTTGTCCACTGTCTCAATCCCAATGTCGAGTCTGAATCCAAATGTCGTCAAGTCCCAAAGTCACAAATCTCTCTCTCTCTCGTAGTCTGCAGATACTGAGAAGTCAGGTAGCTGGAGGAGAGGGGAGAGATGGTGGACTTGAGGAGGAAGAAGAAGAACTCTCGCTTGCTCTCTTGTACCGAGTACTAACCTGTGAAGGTGTCCCCTTGCTGCAGGTACCGTGACATCGAAGACGAAGCTGGGGCTATGGCGCTACAGGTAAGTCCCCCTCGCCTCCACCTACCATAGGCAGCAGGTCGTTCTATAGGCAGCTATGTGGCATGCACGGCTCCCACACGGGCCCCACAGTCCAGCAGGTCGTTCTATAGGCAGCATTACTCGATGCGCTGATGCTTTTAGTGTGTTCGTTTACAGCGTCGGGCGCGTGGTTTGTCGTCGCATCAGCAAGTCAAGTGGGAGATTCGGGACCGCAGCCCAGCTGCAGTGTGAGTGTTACATGCCCAGTTGGGCAATGTAAGGGAAGCCAAGGATCCGCAAAGTGGTGAAAAGGACTAGAAGGACAATGCAGTGTTAATGAAATCTCCACAAGCAATGTTCATCCTGATTCAAGCAAAATGGTACTTTGTAGCACAGCGAGAGACTTGGACATGACTCCCGACTTGACCGGGACTGACATGACATCTGATGATACTTCATACCTGTGAGAGGAGGAGGAGATACCGAACTGTGGAGTATTGTAATGGTGCAAAACAGAGCAAAGACCGACCTCCGTCACAAAGTATAAGATAGCTCTGCGGAATGCTAAGATATCAATGATCAACCCAATCAATGTCGTAATACAGACCCAACGTACATCATCACCGTTGCAGGGTGTGAGTGGCCTGACGCTACAAACAGAAGAATGCGCCAGGTCCAGACCATACACAGACGAAGAGGAGGGGGATCAGACGAAGAAGAAGAGGGGAGATGGGAATGTCGCCAAGACCAAGTCTTCATTACAAGTCCCAAATAGTCCCTTGTCAAATGTTTGAATCCCAAGGTCGAGTCTGGATCCAAATGTCGTCAAGTCCCAAAGTCACAAATCGCTCTCTCTCATAGTCTACAGATGCTGAGAAGTCAGGTAGCGAGAGGGTGAGGAAGAGATGGTGGACTTAGAAGAGGAAGAAGAAGAACTCTCTCTCTCTCTCTCTCTCTCTCTCTCTCTCTCTCTCTCTCTCTCTCTCTCTCTCTCTCTCTCTCTCTCTCTCTCTCTCTCTCTCTCTCTCTTTGGTCCAGTACTAACCTGTGAAGACGGCGCCTTGTTGCAGGTACCTCGAGGATGGACCTGGAGCTATAGGTAAGTCACCCTGTGAAGTTGGCGCCCTGCTGCAGGTACCTCGAAGATGAAGCTGGAGCTATGGCGCCTCAAGTAAGTTTCCCTGGCCTCCGCCACCCCCCTCTCTCCCACACCACTCTAACGCTACTACTAGCGCCCAGCGCTGAAGACTACAACTAACGCTACTCCTGCAGCGCTCCTCGAGAGTGCTGTTGCCGAATCCTGAAGGCTGAAGATTGTTGTCGCCTCTTGAACTGCACGTGAAGTCCTTCTGAACTACCTGCCAACCTGCAGGGCCAGCCAGTCTTATATAATAGTGCTGGCTCGTCCAGGAGGCTGCTCTTGCCCATGCCAACACGTGCCAAACTTTGGCTCTGCAACTCAACTAGGGGTTCTCTTGGGAACAGGCCAAAAATAACATGTGCTTAAACCCTTGGTGTAGTGCCTAAGTTTCAGGGCAGGCCGATCTGATGAGGGTCCGAAAAAGGCCCTTCGTTTCGGGCTAAAGAGGCTCTGTCCCTTAATAGGCTGGAACAACACAGGGCCTGTAGGGCCCTGTTTTCAGGCTTTCGAGCTGAACAGGCATGGGGCCTACAGGCCCTTAATTTCAGGCTTTCAGCCTGAAATTCAGGCTTTTAGCCTAAAATTCAGGCTTTTAGCTTGAAGGACGCAGGGCTTGGCAAAATGACCCTCGTGTGCAGGCGGAGGCTAGGGGACCCATCTTACGAAAATTGGATTGCAAGTCTGAAGCGGGAAAAGCAGCAAACGACGTGTGTGTTGTTCTGTCTTAATTGTGTGCTATTGTAGATAGCCGAAGTTCGTGGTGGGAATTGTTGACAATTGTTGTATCCTGACTCTTTGTGTTTCTTTGTCTTTTGTCCCTGTGTGTTGTGCAGTGTGCACACTGTGTCTCAATCCACAAGGGTTATAATGCCTACGTCGAATGGTGATGCCCACCCGTCAGAACCAGGGGAGGATACCAGGCGAACCTCCTCTGGGGCAGTGCATTTGTCGGGTTCCATGAGTCAACCTGCATTCACTTCATCGCATGTCATGGGTCCCTCGCACCCTCTCCAAGGTCCTTGTTCCTCTTTTCATGCGATGCGTACTCCAGTGACTCCACTGAGACCACAAATTCCACACTATCCATGGGGTGTGGAGTATTCTCGTTGTGCTGCTTCACCTTCCTAACACCCCGACCATTCCCTATCATCCTACCCACATGCTCCCCTTGCACTTCCCAGCCTACATGTTTCCTGCCATTCCTGGCTCTGCACATGCCTATGGGGGAAACCATGGTGACCAACACTTTTGCATGCTTCGGGTCCATATTTTGTAGGTACAACACCGAACACACCTGCCACTTCTCTCCCAATGACACATGACGTTCATCCAATGCACGAGATGATGCATGGATTGTCGTCGAGCCAGCCTCATCACCCCTGTCCATCCCTATCACTTCGTCCTCATCACACGTATCCTTCCCATTCACTTGACCATCTGAATCACGATTCTGTTGTTACTCCACCATCCACACAGTTTGATTACCACAGTCCACCAGTTTCATGGGCACCTCAGAGAACGGCCACCACCGTTGCCCCGTGGCGTGGCGAGGTCCTTGCAGACTCCACCCGACAAACGCAAGAGTGCGATACAAGCACTCCCATCCATGTGGACGCCTCACTTCCGTTGGATAACACAACATCCGGATCGCGAGCTGCACCAACACCATCATCACATGGATTGAGGACCACCGTCACAACGTCTTTGTATACACCGTGTGGAATACGTGAAAGTGTAGAAAGTGCAGCAATTGATATCATCAGCGCCCGCACGCCATGTGCGTCCGACTTGCCATTGGGAGATATCCCAGCGGACGGTAGCCACGACTGCGACATTGGGTCATCGGGTGACACATACGACGACGAACATGCCGAAATAGCCTCATTGCGCAGATATATGACCTTCAAGGATTTGACATTCGTTGGACAGAGATCCCAGCAGCCTCCAGAGTTTTCAGACAGCAGACCGTCAACGACGATCCCCGCACACGACAAGCGCGGTCGGAAGCGGAGACACACAGAAAAGCAACCGGCTTATGAATCCTCGGACCGTGAGGTGTTCTCATCAGGCGATAATCTGACCAGTCCTGATGGTGTGATGTGGACCACACCTCCCACACAACAAGCACTCACAGGGGATTTCAGACCGTTGAAAGTAGGAGGTCGTTATGAGTCTATGGATGTGTTGCGTGACGCGGTGGTGTTCTGCGCTGTGGCATCTGGTTTCGAGTTCCGCCTCAAGAGATCGAACAAGATGAGGTACTATGCCACATGTGCTCACCCAGATTGCCCATGGACATTGGAGGGCAAAACAGCACATGCTAATGGACACACGGAGATTGTTCGTCTGACTCCGCATCGCCCTGGTTGTAGAAAATCAGTCCAACCCGACCTTAAATGCAACAAACACGCGAAGCTGAGGTGGGTGGAGCTTATGGTTGAGAAGAAGTTGCTAGAGGACAGCGGAACGACTTCTACAAAGTTGAAGAAATGGTTTGACAAGGCAGTGAAGTCCCACGTGAGCTACAACAAGTGTTTGCGAGCGAGGACGTATGTGCTTCGGACACTGAATGGGCCTCCGGAGGAGGGGTTCTGCAACTTGCGAAGGTACTGCAGGATGTTGCATGAAACAAACCCTGGGTCCATCATCGACCTTGAGTGCGAGGGCAACGTCTTCGTTCTCATGTTTTTCACGTTGGCTGCTCCTGTGACTGGATTCGCACATTGCAGACCTTTGATTGTGCTCGACAGGGCACACATCAGAGGGAAATACGAAGGATGTCTTCTTGGCGCCACTGGTCAAGATGCGAATAGCCAATGTTTCCCCCTGGCGTACGCGATTGTGGATGGCGAGAGGAAGACTCATTGGAAGTGGTTTCTCGTCCTCCTAAAGCGCTTGTGTGCTGTACCGAAAATGGACCACAAAATCGTGACAATAATGTCAGACCGGGACAAAGGGCTCATACCAGCGGTAAGTGAGGAGTTTGGGGATGAGCGGCATGCATACTGTGTCCGCCATGTTAGTGGGAACCTCTTGAAGAGCTTGAGGCTGAAAAAGGAACAGGCCGCGATGCTCCTTGAAGCGGCGGGGGCGACTTGCGAGGAGGTTTTCAACTACTACATGCAGCGGGGCGCTGGATATTCGAGGCACAAGAACATTGCCAACCAAATCTTTGACAAAGCGCACAAAAGGCATTCGGGAGACCCTCATTTCGTCCATCTAAGGTATGGTAAAGTAACATCGTCCGTAGTCGAGTCCATGAACAGCACGATGTTGGAGGTTCGTGGAAAACCTCCAATACCAATGCTTGAGGGGTACAGGGGAATCGTGCACACTTGGCAAACAGAGAGAAGGTTGCTGCAGAGAGGGGCGGATTCCCTTCGGTTGTGGAGAAGATCTTGAGAGAGACTGTGGAGTTGGCGAGGAAGTATGAGGTCCGAAAGGCATCTCTAGGAGGCCAAAGTGCTAGTGAGCAGCGTTGGGCTTGCGAGTTGCTCTAGGAGGAAGAAGGCAGTTGGGCGCTGGCTTGCAGAGGCAGCCATTTCTGATTGGCAGTTGGCGCTAGTATCCGCCAGGCCAAGTTTTCTTGATGTATAAAGAAGACTTGTAATGATGTTCGGCTCTGAACACTTTGAACTCGAGATACTGTCTCTATAATGTGGTTGTGAAAATTTGAGTTGCGCTACCTGGTCTACATCTCATCTTCATTGGACTTTGTGTGAAGCTTCGCTACTGTGTGATCTGAGTCAATGCATGGAATGTGATGCACTTCAGCAAGTTGTGAACAGTCGGGTCCCTTGCATATTGCTATCATAGTGGTGCATCTGCGGCAAGGTCTCACTCCCATTGATTCCTCATTTCTTGCTATTGACCTTCCCTATTTCTTTTCGTTTGTTTTTTTTTCTCCCGTTATGAAATGTCGATACGATTAGGCCTCCACCCAGGGGGTGGTTCGAGCACTGTACAGGTTGAGACCTTACACTACCGGCTTCCTTCGAACGTAATACACTTATCATGAATGCATCCAAGCATCATATTAGACCTCCATCCAGAGGGTCGCTTGAGCACGCTACAGGTCGATACCTAATGACTACTGGCTTCCCCCACATAATGAATGCATACAAGCTCTCTTTCCATTCGATACAGTCATAATGAGGGTGCATTGTGATCGGGGGAAGACCATAGGTGATGACTCCATGCTATTGGTAAGGAGCTGCATCCCATGGAACAACAACAAAAGCTCAAGCATAATCCACAATGCCAGTAGTATCCAACGAAGTCAGCAGCTCTACAATATGCCTTCCAACTAGAGATTGGCTTATAGACCACACCCACCTGAACTAAAAGAGCCTTCTCCTCCCATGTTGCAAATTCGCTACTACGAACTACCCTTATAGGAAAAGAAGAGAAACATTAGAGCACCCCTTCCTCTCCTGCCCATGGGTGGGTTTGTGATGGTGATAGTGGGATCGACTGTGAAGGTGACAGAGGAGAGCAATGCCCACGGGACAGGAAGTTAATCATTACAGCCCATCTCCCGATAAAGCAGGGGGTGGATTGATAAACAACTGGTTGTGGTTAGGAAGAAAGGTGTTGATGTGGGGAATATGGACATCTAGATATACCTATGAATGAGAAAACAAAACTGGATCAGGAAATTTGGAAAGTATTATCAATTTTGTCCAAACTAACATTTGGGTGGGACGACAATTTTCATTGGATAACAACCCAGAGTTAAAATTATTGCAAAAATTGAAGGGGGGAACAAATCTAACTCTCAAGGGGTGCACATGTTTTTTTTGTGGATTGGCCTCATATTGATCCGTCATTTCCAATCCGATCTATCAAATGGTACAACATTCATAGCAAAGAAGAAGGACCATAACACATGCGATCAAAAGCACACTGGAGCAGAAGGGGAATGTTAACTTATGTTAACTGCAGTGTTGCACAGAAAATGGACTTCACAAGTCCTGCTCTTGCACATGACTACGATACTAATTGACAAATTATTGACATCACACATTTAGAGAGGAAGCTGTCGGGAGGTTGGATTGTGTGTGTGTGTGTGTGTGTGTAATGTGTGCTGGATGTAGCAACAGTGCACGACGGACAGACACCACAAAGTCTGTTCTCCTGCTGCAACAGCAATGAATTCCACAACTTGCTGCGGCTGCAGCAGTTCAACCTCCAAAGGCACTCAAACCAACTTGTCAATTTTGGCCACAATAGGCCCCCTTTCACCGGTTGTGTGTGCATGTGCATGTGTGTGTGTGTGTGTGTGTGTGTGTGTGTGTGTGTGTGTGTGTGCACATGTTTTTTTTTGTGGATTGGCCTCATATTGATCCGTCATTTCCAATCCGATCTATCAAATGGTACAATATTCATAGCAAAGAAGAAGGACCATAACACATGCGATCAAAAACACACTGCAGCAGAAGGGGAATGTTAACTTATGTTAACTGCAATGTTGCACAGAAAGTGGACTTCACAAGTCCTGCTCCTGCATATGACTGCGATACTAATTGACAAATTATTGACATCACACGTTCAGCGAGGAAGCTGTCGGGAGGTTGGGCTGTGTGTGTGTGTGTGTGTAATGTGTGTTGGACATAGCAACAGTGCGCGACAGCAGAACACCACAAAGTCCGTTCTCCTGCTGCAGCAACAATCAATTCCACAACTTGCTGCGGCTGCAGCAGTTCAACCTCCAAAAACACTCAGACCAACTTGTCAATTTTGGCCACAATAGGCCCCCTTCCACCAGTTGTGTGTGCATGTGCATGTGTGTGTGTGTGTGTGTGTGTGTGTGTGTGTGGTCACCCCAAGAAGGACGAAGAACAAGCGAATGCAATGTACACCCCTTCCATCAAAGCTGTGCACCCGTTGTAGGATGCCCGATGCAATACATTAGTGGATGAACACGGGACAACACTGCAATCGCCTGAAATCATTTTCAAATTGTCCCCTGTTCATCTCCAAATTGCACAATCTGCCCTCTTCATTTCCGACAACTCAGCAACTTTGTCTTGCTACTATCAGCATCGTTGTCATCGTCTGCAGAAAAACGAGGTGAAGACGATGCGGAGGCAGTTTTCAAAGTGTCGCTGGAAGTGTTTGTGGTGTCAGCCATTTGTAGATTGCTCAAAGCCTCCTCCAAGCTGCTGTTGGAAGACAAACTATATGTAGAAATGAATGTCGAGTGTGACGACGACGGCTTGTCCTTGAAGGACACTTTTTTGAAGCGCTTAACTTCTGGTTGTTTGTTGTTCGATGAATCATGAAGCAATATAACTTGTGAAGATTCCTTCGCATGCACGGCACACACGTCTTCATGGCTGTGCGTTTTAGCGTTGATCGCAATAGATGCTTCCTTACGTAACCGCATATTCTCTCTGCATACTTGTCCAAACTTGTCACGCAACCACGTCTTATGTGCTCTTTCTTGCTCAACAATCTCCGTCATCACGTTCATCCTTCCTTGAAGATCTTTGACCTCATCTCGTAGCGCATCTCTTTACCTCACTAGTGTGCTGAACATGACCCCCACATTCTCTGCCGCAATTTCTACACTGCGGTGCACCCGACGGGCAGATTCAGCAGTACTCCTATCGTAATCTCTGCCGAAAATTATGTTATGTCTATTCATTGTGCAATTGTAGTTAAATCGGTTGTCACAACACCGGAACGACACTATCACGCACCCAGACCTATGAATCCCCCTCGGCGGCGGCCCAGCGCGGCCGAATCCACGGACGCGGCCAGTCCGCCGACCCTGCGGACGCGCGGCTTTGACGCCACGTGGCGTCCAGAGAGGAAGGGGGTTGGGGATTCGGCAAGCGCCATGGGGCGGCGCAACCCCGACCCCACCCCCTCACACAAAAAAAAATTGAAAAAAATAAAATAAATAATTGGGGGGGTTGGGCTATATTACAAGAAGAAATGAAGAAAAAAAAAATGAATGTTTTTTTTTTTTTTTTCCGTT